GCCAATCCCTTGGCTCTGCTCGTGCCATCTCTTATGCTGCATACCAGGGTCTCTCTGCTGGAGTCTTGGGTCAAGGACACACTCCATTCCTGTTTCCACATTTTAGGTATCTGTCAGAGCAGCACCCCACTCTCCAGTACCATATTCTGTTCTGGTTACTTAGTACTGCTCTGACAGCAATATACCACAAATGGGATGGCCTTAACAAACAGAAGTTTATTCTCTTATAGTTCAGGAGGCTTTAAGTCCAAGTTCAAAGTGCCAGGCTCTAGGGTCTGGGTAAATCAAGCCCCTCGACCTTGGGCTTCAGCTTTGCCTCTTGCTCCCAGCCCACTGAAGCTAGAGGCATCTCTACTCAGGCAGCTACTGGCTGCTGAGGCTAACAAGCCCAAGATTGACAAAGAAAATGTCACAGTCCCATTGTTACCAAATCACACAGCAGGCCATTGATTAAAGTCCAAAGGTTGGCAGAGCATGGCAGGCTGCTAAACAACAACACAGCTACATACAGGGTCTAAGTGTGCCATAAACTAGAGACCATTCCCAAAGCTGTTTCTTATATACAGGAAGCAGACCATATACCTAAAGCAGCTACTCAGCTGCTTGTGGTAGAGCACACCATGGAGTTGATTCTCAGTCTCATCATGGGGAATAACTACCACCAGCTGCCCAGCCATTCAACCAGGCCCAGCCAAGTTGACATAGAAACTTAACCACCACACATGTTGTTGTTGTTATGTGCCATCGAGTCAGACCCGACTCATAGCAACCCCTCCTTGGATTTCTGAGGCAGTATCACTATGGAAGTAGATTGCCCCATCTTCCTTCCGAGGAGTGGCTGGTGGGTTTGAACCGCCAGCCTTCTGGTTAGCAGTCAAGTGCCTTAGGCACTATGCTACCAGAGCTCCCAACCACCACAAATAGTATATATTTTATTTTCACAGCTTCATATATCTGCTCTCATTGTTTCTTCTGTCTCCTCTGTCTTCCTGTCTACCTTGTGAACTTCTTCTCATCCTTGAAAACCTAATTTGTGGTAGACATGCCTTAAGTGTCTTTCATTACACATTCCTTGTAGAACTACCATAACATGTGAACTCCCACTCCTGGTGACACTCATGGGTGTCAGAGTAGAACTGTGCTCCATAGGGTTATTATCAATGACTGATTTTTTAGTAGATTGCTAGGCCTTTCTTCCAAGGCAACTCTGCATGCTAACCATTCATTCTACCTGTGGACTCCAGAACTATCATAAAACCAAAATCAAACTCATCGCCATTAACTCTATCCCAACTTATAGCAACCCCCATTTGTTTCCAAGGCTGTAAATGGAAGGAAACTGCCTCATATTTCTGCCACAGAGCAACTGGTGGGTTCAAACCACCACCCTTTTGGTTAGCAGCCAAATACCTTAACCACTACACTACCAGAGCTCTTTCAGAAATATCATAGTTCTTATGAAATGTGTATTGGATGTAGTTAGCCATGTTTAATATATTGGAAAGCTATTCAATAGGATCTGAAGTGAAGCCCTAATTGAAGCCCAGCCAATCAGGACCCTCAACCAGAAATTTGGAATAGGATTGTGGAGACATTAAGCATTTTGCTGAGCAAAGTTGAGCTAGAGAAGTTTATTTGTATCAGGACCAGACTCCATCCATCATAACAAACCATAGACTTGTGCAAATTACCAAAACCAAAAACCAAACCCACTGCCATGAAGTCAATTCCAACTGAGAGCAACCCCCATTGGGTTTCTCAGGTGGTAAATCTTTACGGAAGTAGATTGTCCAGTCTTGCTTCTACAGAGTGGCTGGTGTGTTTGAACCACCAACCTTCTGGTTAGCAGTCAGATACTTTAGGCACTGTGCTACCAGAGCTCCTTTGTGCAACTTATAGTGGAGCTGAAATCATAAGTAAGCTAACAAAGTCAGTGTGCAGAAAGTTTCCATGAGATCTATCATTCCAACTCATGACTCCTGTGTACTTTTCTATAGTTTAAGTGGGTTTCTCCTTGAAATAAAAGGAGATAGTTTAAATATCACCTCTAATGTTTTTCTGAGCACCTAAAGGCTAATCTAGTTACTTTTTATTGTGTTGTTAGGCATATAATATGCCTAATTTTCAACTCCTATGTCCCGCTCTGACAGAATAGAATTGTCCCAGAGTTTTCTAGGCTATAGTCTGTACAGAGAGCAGATTACCAGGTCTTTCTCCCACAACATATGTTTTATTGTCCAATAGTAAAGATCTAAAAGTGAGTGCTTACTATGAACTAGTCACAACATACAAACATACATGCATGCATCATTCTCACACCCACACACTAAAGTGGCTATTCTCCCCATATGACTAATTGTTGTTGTTGTTGTTGTTTTTGCCGTCGAGTCGGCCCCAACTCATAGCGACCCCTCCTTGGGTTTCCGAGGCAGTATCACTACGGAAGTAGGATTGCCCAACCTTCCTTCCGAGGAGTGGCTGGTGGGTTTGAACCGCCAGCCTTCTGGTGAGCAGTCAAGTGCCTTAGGCACTATGCTACCAGAGCCTTTGCCCAACATCATGCAGTTAGAAACTAAGGACCCATGACTCCTCCCCCAGTCTACCTGATTCCAGAGACTATGTTTCCATTATACAAAACCAGATTCAGCATTAATGTTTCTTTACTGTCTCCACTGCTAAATTTTAAGCTTGAACTTAGAGCCCATAATGTGTACATGGTGTGTACATTTTAAGTGCCAGCATAGCACCTACTGAGTATGGCAGGTGCTTAGTAAATGTTTATTAAATTTAAATTCTCTAGCAGTACCCAGAGTGTGGTCCCATATTATTGTATAATCATATTTAGGATGCACATGTGTGGTTTTTCTTTTGAACAATAGACCTCCATCCTCATTTCTATCAATAGATTTCAGGTTAAGTTAGATATGAAATATTCAATTCCCTTGGAAAAAATAGAGCAAGAGGATGATTTTTATTTAATAATTACATTAAAATCAAAGTAATGAGAGCAACTCTACCTCTGAGTGCCAGAGATGACTGTTTACAGTGAAATTGTTAGAATAAACCTGTATTTCACTCTTTCTCCTTTGATACAATTTAACAAGAGTTTAATCATCACTAGACGAGGGATATGCAGGCATTCTGATATTTTGTACATATCAGACCTTAAAAGTTATCTACAGAAAGCATACTTTTTGATTATGGATTTTGTCTGAAAAATCAGCTATTACTTTATCCTACAACTATACCAGCACAAGGACACAAAAATTTCTATACCATGGCACATTTACTTGTTATAGCAAAACAATGGAAAGAACTTAACTGTCTATCAATAACAGACTGGTTGAATAGATTATGGTATAGCCATTCGACTCAGTGCAACCGTTGACAAGAGTGAGGCACCTCTCCTTGTGTTTCATACAATGATCTGTAAGACACAGAGTAAAAAGAGCGAGGTATGTAGAGGATGTTAGCATTTGATAAAATACCTTGTGAAGTCTTCCCATATGCATGTGTTTTCTATTCAAGTACATTGTTTAAAACTAAAATAAAATGCACATTTTAAGCAGCCAATATCTAAAATGTTAGAGATCGCTTGTATCCACTTACAGCCTATATTACTAGCTAACAAAATATCTACAAGTCTCTTGATATTCTTTTATCAACTTCATAAAAATACACTCTCTTTTTGATGGGAGGATTTCTGACTTCTCAGTTGGATAGGTAAGAAGAGGTTTCTGCTGATCTTGGTTGATTTCTCATTCCCCCCACCCCCTTCTTGCTTGTACTGAGATGTAGTGATGGAGAGTCTCTGGCCACAGTTGGTTCCTGCAAAAAGGAATGGATCTGATAAACAGGGTCTTTTAAACCATTGCTACTTTTCTCTTTTGAACAGTGGGCCCTTCTTTCTTCTTTTGAAGAAAGGGTTTCCTGTTTCCTCTCATCTATTGTGCTTTATTGGAGACAGCAGGTCTTACAATTGGCCTTCCTGGCACTTCAGAAAGCAAGCACATGTAGAAAAACAGTTTCTCCTGAGTGAGGAAACTGAAACTTCCAGACAAAAAGAATGTAACAACAGACATCCTACATCCTGCCGGTTCCCTTACCGTGAAGAACCAACCCAGGTTGTGTGCTGTTGGCTGAAGTCCCTTGAAATCGAATCACTTCCAGAAACACAAAAACAACAGACATTCTAGGACAACTGTGTTATTTAAGGAAACTTTTCAGACTATTGATCAGTCACTGTTCTTGGAATGCCGTAAACCCAGCATTTTGCGGATCTGATGCAGACTTTCAGAATATTACAGAATAAGTGTAAAATTGGGAAGGCTGCTGTACCCTTTGCCCAGTATAAACACCAAATTGACAAGTAAAAATACAAACCCAACTTTCTATGGATTTTCTTTTAAACAATATATCTCCATCCTCATTTCTATCAGTAGATTTCAGGTTAAACAAAGATTGAACTATTCAACTTCCCTGGCAAAAGAAGAAAAAAGAGGGGTTGGGAAATGATTTGTGATTTTTCCTTTAATAATTATTTTTAAATCAGATTAACTAGAATAAGTGTGCCTCACATGTAATAGTATTTAGGACACTTCAAATTAGCTTCTTTGGTACAAAATCTGCATGTATTTGTTAACTGTATTTACACACACACACCTTCCTGCCATAATGAAGAACTTTGCTCTGATATTATTCTTTTGGCTGATTTCCTTCTCTGTCCAACAGTTATTGGTCATTAAGGTCAATATAATTAATATATTGGAAACTATTTTTTGAAATAGTAATGTAATATTCAATCTCCTACTATCCTGATTATTTAAACGTATTAGTAGAGAACACATTTTTCTTTAAAGTTACTCTAGAAGAGATCAATATTCTCATTGATTTTGACAATTATCTTTTCTTTACCATCTTTAAATATACTACATTTCTGTCCCTGTAGAACACACACATGTACACATACATACACTTCTAAGATCACAATGCCAAAATTCATCTATACTTGTAACATTTCAGAGTACTAAATGTTAAATTTTATTCCTAGGTCTATCACAGCCTAAAGATAAATAGAATCTAAGCCCTGAGAGAGCAAATTGCAAGAACTAAGCTAGTATTTTCGTGATAAATTTTAAGTACCTATCATCTGTCATTCCGAGAGCTTCTTGTATTCATTCTAGACTCTAGAATTAAAAGGGGAGAGGGGTATGCATTTAGAAATTATTTATTTCAACTCAATATAGAATATTTATCAGTCAAGATAACGATCAACGTGTACAAAAATTTACATAACAGGAGAAACAATAGACAATGCAGCACCTATAGAAAAATAATTAAAAGTTTTGTTGCATTTACAGGTAAGTGCCACACTGAGAATTTACAACACAGTAATTTACTGCAATCAATTACGGGAGTTCCATAAAGAAACAAAGTTCTTACACTCCAGATTTTAGGAAGGTATTATTGGAATGCTTAACTATAATCACAGAATTTGTATATCCTTAGGATTGAACTAAAAAAGTCATAATAGGTTTTCATAGCATATATTACATAAAAGGAGTCCACTGCAATCAGACAGCTGGTTTAGTGTCTTTGACAGGTGTGAAGCCTAGAAGAATTACTGGCTTGATGGTGATCTTTCTGTATCCGGCAAGACAGACCTTCTCCACAGTAACAACGCTGGAATATCTCCAGCCCATGGGAGCCTTTTCTCCTGTGTTTGGTACACACTTGACCTTCTTTGAGGACAGGTTTACAGATCTTGGACCAGAAGTGTCTAGCACAACACAACCCAGTGGCACAGTCTGATGATCGAAGACAGACAGAACCTTCTTGTCCTAGGAAGGAGGAGACAGAGGAGAAGTACAGGGTTACTGCCAAGCCAACATAATTTCATTAAGATAATTCAAAAGACACTTCTGACTTGTTAACAAAGTAGAATGATCTTAAAAGGTTCTTACTGTACCTTTGGTATGGTACATTTTTGAAGACTGTGTGGTTCTCCTGGAGTACCCATCCAAGGTGCTGTGGTCATTACCAAAGCTTTCAATAATAGTCTCCTCGACTTCCCCTCGATTGAAATGATTGTGGTCAGAAGGCATACATAATCCTAAGGAAGTAAGAGGGAACAATTAAATCCAGGGCTATACTACCTGACTGCTAACAGCTTCCCTTTTGAAGAGGGCACTCTGACCAGCCTGCATCAACTGGGTATCTTTTTGCAGAGAAATTATTTTACATACCAACAAAATTATCTCCCTAGTGTTAATGCAAAACTCCTCCGATGAACAGAAGCACCAACGTATACATCATGCAGTCATAAGCAACATCCCAGGACAGCCACTTAAAACACATTCCCACCAACTCTTTAAATGGCAGTAAGATTTCTGTCCATTTGAACATCACCCTTAGGTTAAAAAATAGAAAATCAGTCACTGAAAAAAAAAATTCTAAAAATAGTTCCTCTGCCCTTGGTCCTATATGGATACTGCCAAACTAAATTAAGCAAATGGAATTCTAGCTGCCTGGAAGATTACAATCTCACCCACCAGTTGTGCTTTACTATATAATTTCTGTGTTATAGAGATTTTGTTAGTTCACCCTGAGTACTGCTGGGTCCTAAGGAGAGTTGCCAACCTGTACAGTATTTCTGGAAAATTCTTTGTCTGGCTAAGTTTCCCAAAGAGTCTCTTTGAGATATAAATGTTAATGGATCTAGGTAGGTAGGGGTGGGGTACTTATTTTAAAGTAGCACAGGTAAGGGAGCAGAAACGGATGGAGAGATAAGAATGGCCAGTACAGATAAAGCACTCTGCTGGTTGACAATAGTTTCAACATGCATGATGAGATAGACAACAGGCTGGCAGAGCCATGGGAGTTCACAGCAAGGCAAACTGAAAGGGCAGGTAAACACTCACACTGGTCCCACCCATACATATCCCACCTACCTTACCATTCTCTTTAAATGACCTCAAGATTCTCCACCATACAAATGTATGTGGAATGATCCGAAGCATAACGTCAGTTTAAATCATAAGTGGCACAGAGGAAGATAAGTTGCTCCAAGACCACCATACTCCTTTCTCTCTCCTCCCCCATTAAACACTCATAATAAAGACATTTCAGGAGAACCCCTCACGCTGAACACCTAGGGTTGCTTCTGGAGTCATTTGCAGGTGGCGTCAGGCGTGCGCCGCGCAGCGAGCGTTTCTCCCATCCGTAGGTGCGCAAAATCCAGACGGTTCGAGTTTGAATAGAGGCTGCAGGACTCACCATTTTTGCAGTAATTCCCGGGGCAGCACATAGCGTGGCGCATGCAGCGTTTTCGGCGTTTCCTACAGGCAAGGCATATTTGGGCGCCAGCGCTCCCTCCGCGGATAGGACTAGCGCAGTACTCGTCCGTGCCACAGTCCTCGTCGTCTGCGCACGGGTATGGCTGCGGGAAGGGGATGCCGAGAGGATGAGCCCGCAGACATGCTGATACCCACACTCTTTGACCCAGCTGCTCTTCACCGTCTCTCTCAGTCCCTTTCTCCAAAAACTGTCGTCGCCCACTGCTCCCAAATGCAGCGTCTCCAAATGCGACCTGAATCGCACACACCTGGCAAGTTCTGTGCCCTCTTCCCCAAATGGGACCCCTTCAGGGTCACAGCGTCCCCGGATCCCCGCAAGCCCACTCACCTGATAATTGTCAATGGTCTGATATTTGTTCGCGCCCTCGTACAGAATTCCCGGCGCCACGCTGACCGCGGAGCCTGGGTGCCCTGCAGCGCCGCCCAGCGGAGGGGGCAGGTTCTTGATGGCGTTGGAATTGACCAGCACCGAGTTCAAGGTGGCGCTCACCCCAAGCAGAGGGTGGTCGCAAAGAGTCGCCACTACTAGGGCGACCAACAGCCGGGCAGCTGCTACTCGGCCCCAAACCATCATCTCAGAAAGTCAAGAAAAAGAAAAAGAAAGGAGGAATGTCACTTGGCAAGCCTGGCCTAGGAAGCTAGCGCCCGGCTGGCGCCGCTGCAATCAGTGTCCCGGGAGCCTCCTGAGGTCCCAGAGAGCTGTTTGCCGGGCGCCCGGAGCTCTGCGCCGCCACCGCCACCGCGGCTGCCTTTATACCGCGGGCTCAGAGCATTCCCGCCCCTCCGGGGAGACAACAAAGCCTGGATGGGATTTCAAAGCTTTGGGACGGGCTGGGAGGGGGTGTGTTTGTGTACGAGAGGGGGGGCCTTTGACACTCTTCACCCCGCCCCTCCCTTGTGTTCCTCTGGCCCCAGTTACCTTCGGGGTGACGGGTACCCGTGAGCGTCAGAGCCAATGACTTTAATAAAGGCAGGAGCAGGGAGGCACTCGGGCAGCCTTGCTTTGCTGTAGGGTCTGCGTTATCGCCATCTGAAATACTTTTCAGAGCGAAATTGTGATACTCTCTGCAAAACCATCTATGCGGTTCTTACCCCCATACTCATTGCCCTCGAGTCCGTTCGGACTAACAGCGACCCTACAAGACAGAGTAGAACTGCCCCACAATTTGCAAGGCTGCAAACATTTACGGAAGCAAACATTCTCCTCTTTCTTCCGTGGAGGTCCATTACGTGTTAATTATGCACACATGAATGATGTTCAGTATTAAATACGACTCAATCAATAGTTCAAAATGTCGAAACTTGCTTCTAGGAGAGGGCCAGGTGGTCGGTGCAAGTTGCTGATTAACCCTTTAGAGTTCCAATTTCCAAGATTTGGGGGCGTGGTCCTTAACTTCGTTCAGTGCCCCCCACCCCCAGCCCCCGCCACAGCCATCGCCAAAAAAAAAGTGAAAAGAGAAGGAAATTTGCACATCAAAGGAGGGTAAGAAAGGAAGAACTAATTCTCTTTTGATGGGAAGTTGAGAGAGAGGGAGGCGAGAGACTGGAGCTTGGAAATTAGATCAGGGGCGGAGGGAAGAGGGAAATGACCATCCGATAATCAAACTATTTAATGTTGTTCTTTGAATCTGAGCAGTCCCGGCAGTAGATGAACTTGATTAGGCAGACCCACGAGATCAAAGTGGCCTGAGCGACCGCGGAGAGGGTCCAACGTACCGGGTCAGTCCTACTTCCCTGGTCCCCTTTTCTCAGTGGTGGATTAACACAGCGAGATAAGAAACCCTTAAGGCTTAGCGCCTGACTTCCTCATTAGTATTTCATACCGCAACGCTTCAGAATGCACATGTTTGATCTCAAGTCAGACAGTTTGCGGAATCTAGGAATACTCCCTCTAGGGAGATAAGAGATTGTAGCTTTAGGAAAAGGAACGCTGAAAGTGAATTTGACATCATTTAAACCAGTGTATAAAAATAATAAAATAGGACTGGGCGTAGGAATGTTGTCATGCTTGTAAATTGGAAATAATTATCTATTCATTAAAAAAAAAAAAGTGGCAGCCTAGTTGCCTGGCATCGGACTACCATCCGTGTTACTGTTTCTTGAGGTGAGGGCGGTGCAGTGAATACAAATACTTATGAGACAGACTTTTCACTCTCCATGATTCTTTATTTTAATTATGATATTAATAATATAAGAAGTGTGCACAATTCTTTTTAAAATAAAGTTGAATGTTTTGTCAAAAAATGAACAACTGCTATGTCAGTTTGGAAAGGGAAGAGATGATTGAATAATCACTGTTGAATAAACAAAACAAAGCCTCTCAGATTTATTTTGTGCTCTCCTGAGAAGCCCTGGTGGCACAATAGTTAAGTGGTCAGCTGCTGACCTAATAGTTGGTGGTTGGAACCCCTTAGCTGCTAAGTGAGAGAAAAGACCTGTTGATCTTCTCCCATAAAGATCCAAAAACCCAAAACCTAACTCATGACTCTCAAGTCAATTCCAACTCATTGAGAGTAGAACTGCCTGATAGGATTCCTAAGGCTGAAATCTTTATGGAAACAGACTGCCACATCTTTTGACCTTGGAGAATGGCTGGGTTTCAGTTCAAACCACTGACCTTTTGGTTAGCAGCCAAGTGCTTTAGCCATTGTACCATCAAGGCTCCTTCCATGAAAGATTACAGCCTAGGAAACCCTATGGAGCAGTTCTGCTCTCATACAGGGTCTTCATGAGTTGGAATTGACTTGACAACACCTGATAACAACAATCTCTAGGGAATCTCTACTTACTCCATACACTGACCTATAGTTATGATTGAGACCACCATACAGTAGAGCCAGTGGTAGCCCTGAAGTAATATAACACTAAAGTTAAAAGACTGGGAGGAGTCATTAAAAGAACAGTTTGTAACGGTCTGTGTTCTACCTCCATGGGTTTTAGAAGTCATATTAAAAGGTAGTGCAGTAGTTAAGGCATTCAGCTGCTATCCAAAAGTTTGGCAGTTCAAACCCACCAGCTGCTTTGCAGGAGAGGTTAAGAAGACTGCTTTTGTAAAGATTACAGCCTTGGAAACCCTGTGGGGCAGTTCTACTTTGTTCTATAGGGTCACTATGAGTTGGAATTGACTCCACAGCAGTTGGTTAGCTTTTGGTCTAAACATAAAAAAAAAAAAAAAAGGTATTTTCCCCAGTTCGTAGCTGTACTAACCAAAATCCTGTCTATCTGGAAAATATCCTCTGACTTACTGAATCCTGCTTGAAATTCTAACATGGATTAAATCTCCCATATTGCTTAAGGTTTTGTTATGCACATGTACAATGATCTAGATCATTAATTCTCTAGAAAATTTTAGAAAAAATTAGAATTTGAAACAATGGGAAGACTGTTTTATATTAACTTTTGTTAAGGGAGTATAAGAAACAAATAAATTGACACACTTACTGTTGAGAATCTATACAGGAACTAGATCTTCCTGAGCACATATTGTCTTATCAGCTGGGAACTTGAAGTTTACATAGACCCAAAGACATTATAGGGTGAAAGAGTAAGGGCACAGGAGACTTTAGGTGCCATATTATCATTTGCAAAATATTGATAACGATGTCAGCAGGTAATGCCTTGAGCCCTTTTGGTATGTCAGAAAATCCACACACCGTCTCAAACCCTTTCAGTGTCAAATTGTGGAAAAAGAAGCTCTTGCCCTTCGGAAGAAAGGATAAAAAGGTTTCTTCTTAGTCCCATTAACCTATTTAAATATTTCTACACATATACTTTTGTCACACTAAAGTATATTTTCCCCTTTTAGGAAGAGATGACATATAATTAATTGATTTAATGAATTTAATTTATTAAGAGTTTGAATTCGCAAATATAACCATTGACTGGAGGAAACAAATGGAACTTTTTAATCAACAAGTAGAAAGCTTTACTAAAGAGGCACGTACATAAATTCTGTCTTGATCCCTGAATATCTGTTGTATATCTGTTATGGTTAACTATCCATTGAGCTTTAGAGAATCTGTTTTGTTGAGTTAGAAGAACTAAAGCCAAAAGCAAGGTTTTAAGAGTGGACTGCTGCTACTTCCTTCCCCATCTTCCTTGTTGTTCCGGAAGTAGTCACGATTGAAAAGCTAATCATAATGAGTCAGCCAGTATCTGAGTTTGTACCTTGTGGTAAGCACTGTACCTGGTGGTGTGTGATAAATGATGAATATGAAGACCCATATTATCTACTTTCAAATTATTTGATGGAGGGAAAGGAAGGCAAACTCACAAATTATATGAAGGAGAAATTATGTGGGAGAGCCACAGAGAGAGCTGAGTATGTAGAACGCCAACTCTGTTTCAAAATGGGAACACTGGCTTTTTCAGTGGGGTCTCCATTTGAAACCCTTGCCACGATTGGATTTGCTCATTTGCAACAAGAGAGCAAGGTGCGTAAGACGTAAAGTGAACTCACTGTCCCATCAGCAGTCAGTTAATATTTGGTGAGTGCCCACTATAAGCAAAATGCTACTACCCTTGTCCCTTTGAGGGTATACCCCCAAAATATTAAAGACAGGCTCTTTATCCTCAGAGAACTTTCAGGGTAGGACAATTTGGGAAAACACAATATACTTACATGGGGGCAAGGGAAGAATTCTTCCAAAGCTGATGATACTTGGGAAAGGAGTGTGGTGACACAATGGTGAAGTGCTCAGTTGCTAATCGAAAGGTTAGAGGTTTGAAACCATCAGTGTTTCCAAGGAAGAAAAGACCTAGCTATGTACATCCATAAAGATTCCAGCCTAGAAACCATCTGGGGCAGTTCTACTCTGCCCTACAGGGTTGCTGTGAGTCAAAGTCCACTCGGTCGCATAAAACAACAATAACAGGAAGAAAGAAAAAGATTCTGGTAACTCTCTGTGTCTCAGAGCCCAGTAACAGAGGTGGCAGGAGGCAGGGCAGGAATTAACCTAACTTATTAGTCCTATGTTGTTGTTGTTGCTGTGTACCATCGAGTCGGCCCAACTCATAGCGACCCCTCCTTGGGTTGCCAAGGCAGTATCACTATGGAAGTAGATTGCCCAACCTTCCTTCTGAGGAGTGGCTGGTGGGTTTGAACTGCCAGCCTTCTAGTTAGCAGTCAAGTGCCTTAGGCACTATGCTACCAGAGTCCTAGAGAGGATCTTATCTCCTATTTCAGCTGGTTTAAATATGATCATAATTAAAGTAATATGTTTTGTATTTGCATTCGATTTTAAGGTACATGGAATATGTGAAATAGAACCCCAAAATTCAGCAATAGCATGATAGTGCATATATTCTTCATATTTTAATTCCTGGATGCTAGGCACGGAATTCTCATCAGTCACATCATGTATGTGGAAAACAGAGAGGCAAATGCACACCACAAAAAGCCATGCAACTTACAAACTTCCCAACCTTTCTCATTTGAGTTTATTATGTTGCTGTTGTGTTTTAAATTCCCTTCCCTCCCTCTCTTCCTTCTTCCCTTTCTTCCTTCCTTCTTTTTCTTTGGGAAATCGAAGGAAGTGGATCAGTTGCTGTAGCATTTACTTCACTAGGAAATCTCTGAATAAATGTCATTCTGTATGGTTGATGTTGCCAACCTTTTTATTGGTGCCACATAGCAAGGGCTCCTCATTCTTGATGTTATGCAAAAAATGCTGTGACTTTCTCATTGGCTTTTAAAAGGTTTTAACATCACAGAGCGCTCTTAATGCTTTCTGCGATGGTAAAGTAGCTTTTAGTC